GTCTTTATTTTACAGTTAAAATATATGTTTATTAAATACAGTCTAATGTTACAACTAATCATGGATCCCTTTAAGGAAGTATCTCACTGAGTTTGGCAACAAAAAGCCTTTGTGATAGAATCTCCAACATGTCTTAAAACTTTTGTATTTTCWCGCATCACAGATTTGCACCAAAGTTGCTTCAATTTTAAACTCGTTCAAAACTTTGTGTCATTCATTGTGTYTGAAACTATTCACAGCTTCTTTTCTGTAATTTATGTCACACTGAAGCTGCATGCAAGTTCTCCTATTATAATATACGTGTAGGTGTAGGCGGCAATAAAATAAAGTGCACAGCCCAGAATAGAGTTTATCAAACCATGCACACAGAAAAAAACTGTGATTTCCAAATTTTAGCTAAATAAAACCTGGCCTCATGRTTTGTCTGAAACTACAACTGAAAATTGTCCATTTTCTCACAGTTCTGTGGCCAACAGTTGCAGCCCAGTATATGTTTTACAAAATAAAACAATAGTTTGTTTCAATATTTTTGCTTCAATAAGCATTAGAATCACTTTAAACATGAAGAAACATACTAAAAAACATCTAATAAATAATAAAAACTAAGAATAAAACAACAAACTTAAGAAAAACTTAAAATCCATTAAATAAAATTCAAATAAAGTAAAATAGTTTATGTACTGGAGTGAAATGAACTTAATGTTAATAAATGTTGCACATCGAAGCAATTCGTAGAGTGATTTCCTGACATTTGTGGCTCACTGTCATAGAAAACTTCATTTAAATTGTAATAATGAACATTTTTTGTTTGTTTAACTGACAAACTTTATGTCTGGTGTCACGTGAAAGAACTTGGACAATGGTTTGAGACTGTCCCACACCGTTTCCCAAAAGAAGAAGCTGTGGAATTCTCTGGAGCTTTCCAATACCCTCATCGTGGAGAACGTTACAGTGAATCACACGGGAGAGTTCACCTGCGTTGCTTCCAGTGGCCAGATGGAGAAAAGGGCCTCGGCATATCTCAAGGTTTATGGTAGGTACATGGAAAACAGATTGCTGTGGAGTGGTGTTTTGTTTTAAAAGAATTCAGGTGTGAGTGATGTGAAAGTTGAACTTATGGCATCAACTCATTTGAAAATCCTGACCGGGACAAACTGAATTTTATAAATGATTTTAGCTGAAAGCTGATACTTTTACAAATATTTGTCATTGCAGTCAAACATTCCCAAACACATGATGTCCCACATTCTAACKTTTGAGCTTTCTGAACTGTCCACATTTTGACAAACCAACTCTTCTTACTCTCACAGCCTTTTAAGTGCATATACTAACTATACATCAAAATCAAGGCATTTTGGTCTTTTTTTGCTCAGCGTGTCTCTCACAGCTACAAGACAGTTTTTTCTTGTCTCCCCAGAGTGCAGAATGTGCACAGTCAATCTTTCACACACTTYAATAAATATAAATTAGCTCATTTTTTTCCTTAAAAACATTAAACCTTTTCAACTGGTCAAACACCAACCATGTTTCCATCAASGCTTTTTGATGCGCATTTAGAAGTGTCGCATTAAAAATGCAAAAAAAGTTGGATGGAAACAGCAAAATTCAAAATAAAAATCCTCAATTCGCTAAAAAGTTTTTACGCTTGCTTGAGGTGGTTTTTGGATGATTCGCAAAGTAGTTAATGCGCAAAACAGGAGATGGAAACATGTTTGCTGAATAAATTCTGACATAGCACATATTTACCTCACGTGACGTTCAGCTGTTTCCGCTTTCCTACCTCGTCACAGATGTTATCATAAACGCGCGAAAACATGGCTGTGTCTCCTGGCAGTGTTAAACATAGCCTGTACTAGCTGAATAGATGGAATAATTACAACTTGCCCAATAGCAAGGCATTCATGAAAAAAATCACTATTGTCTCGAGATGATTAGCCTCTGCTAATTAGCAAGTTTCACTTCCTGTTTACTACCGCAAAGCTTGTCGCCGACGTCTGACATAATCACGTGCTGCGTAGCCTCGTCTGACATGATCATGCATTGCGTAGCCTCGTCTGATGTAATCACACGTTGCGTAGCCTCGTCCGACGTAATCACGCGTTACGTAGCCTCGTCCGACGTAATCACGCGTTGCGTAGCCTCGTCCGACGTAATCACGCGTTGCGTAGCCTCGTCCGACGTAATCACGCG